GGTTAAAATGCAATTAAAAACAGATTAATAAAAGGAACAAACCCCACTTCAATTAAAATCCATCTTACTACCAATGTTCTACCTAAATCACGGTTCCTGTCTGCCAATAGAAAGCCAACAGGAAAAAGCGGGGTTTGCAATGTGCCACCATCTGCTTTCTTTTGGATGTCTCCTATCGCTGTCTGCATCATGTAGGGATTTTTTTATGCAATTATGGCTGATAACAGAAATGGAAATCATTTCTCTTGTGGTGGTCCTATTAAAAATGAATGCATTGAATATTGCTAAATGAGTCTTCTGTAGGTTTTTAATCCACTGCTTGTCATGGCTATTCTATCAAATTTCAGAATAAGGAACCGAAGAGCAGATCCTTTCTATCAGTTTGGCTGAGGGACCAGAAACTGCCGACTTCTTTTCTCTTTAAACTGGAGTTACTTTTATCTCACTGCTATGATGACTCCCTCCAAACCCCTTCCTTTAAGTTGTGGGTGAATCTACATAGCAGAATCAATGCAATCTTACCCTGCTTTAACTGTCATGGTTCAATACTTTGGAATCCTGGGGTTTGTTGTATGTTGAAGCACTAGCATTCTTTGGGAGAGAAGGCTAAATACCTTCTAAAACTACAGGTTCCATGATTCTATAGCACTGAGCCATTGACTGTGTGGATCATCATATATTGTGGCAAGTTATTGGTGGTATGGAGATACCAAGTCACCTTGTCTGTCTCCCAAGGAACCTGTATAATGACCAAGTAGTAACAGTAAGAACAGACCACGGAACAACAGACTGGTTCAAGATTGGAAAAGGAGTATGGCAGGGCTACATACACTCACCTGACCTATTCAACTTGTGTGCAGAACACATCATGTGATGTGCAGGGCTTGATGAATCCAAGGCTGGGGATAAAATTGCTGGATGAAACATAACAACCTTTGATATGCAGATGATACCACTCTAATGGCTGAAAGCGAGGAGGAACTGAGGAGCCTTCTAACCAAGGTGAAACAAGAAAGTGCAAAAGCTGGGTTGCAGTTAAACATTAAAAAAACCAAGATTATGGCAACCAGACTGAATGATAACTGGCAAATAGAGGGAGAAAACGTGGAAGCAGTGACAGACTTTGTATTTCTAAGCACAAAGATTACTGCAGATGCATATTGCAGCCAGGAAATCAGAAATCATTGCTCTTGGGAGAAGAGCAATGACCAATCTTGATAAAATAGTTAAGAATAGAGACAACACACTGGCAACGAGGACCCACATAGTTAAAGCAATGCTATTCCCCGTAGTAACCTGGACCATAAGGAAGGCTGAGTGAAGGAAGATAGATTTTTTGAACTGTGGTGTTGGAAAAAAATTCTGAGAGTGCCTTGAACTGCAAGAAGATTCAAGGACTCCATACTCCAGGAAATAATGCTCACTGGAGGGAAGGATATTAGAGGCAAAGATGAAATACTTTGGCCACATCATGAGAAGACAGGAAAGCTTAGAGAAGACAATGATGCTGAGGAAATGGAAGGAAAAAGGAAGAGGGGCCAACCAAGGGCAAGATGGATGGATGGCATCCTTGAAGTGACTGGATTGACCTTGAAGGAGCTGGAGGTGGTGACGGCCAACAGGGAGCTCTGGCATGGGCTGATCCATGAGGTCACAAAGAGTCGGATCTACATTAATTCTACAATGTAGATGCATCCTGTGAGGCTAAAGACAAGAGTTGTTTTATTTCCCATTGTACGTTTTTTTAGTTGAACTATAAACACCCTTCAATGAATTAGACTGGGCTGAAGCTTGGTATCCATGCTGTGTGGGTGTGTTTGTGATGTGTTTGAGTTGAACCCCAGCAGTGACCAAGGACTTACTGTAAAATATTTGTGCTGTCTATGAATTTCTCAACATTATGCTTGTCCCAGATGTGGGTGTGTGGTGGATGTTCTTTCTTTTGCAAATAAAGCAAATAAAATAACTGAAAAACTATAGTCAACCTTTGTTACGCTGCTGCCATACTCTGCTATTCTCTGCTTTAGAACACAGGACATGATGAAACCATTTCAGTAAGAGAATAAGACAAAAACAGCAAGCAAAGGTGGCATTTCATTGTCCACCGCCATTTTTCCTGACACTTTTTCATCTTTATTTCATATTGAAAGTGCTACAACACTTTCTGACATGTGCTAATGAGGGAGGAGAAGAAGAAGGAATCAAGTGGGCTGTTTCTGGAAAGACAGACTATTCTGAGGAACAAAAGGGAGATAGGAGGGAAACTTTCAAAAACCAACAGCAAACAACACAGCAGTGTTTGTCCTGGCATGAAAGAGGTTGTGATGCTGGTAAAAGAAACTCTTACTCGGTGTTAACACAATCTATCATGTATCAATCATGTGCACATTTATGTGGGAGTCCATAAAAATCAACACCTGTTGCAGTTTCCAATGCAAAATGTTCTTTTGCGCATCAAATGCAGACCCAGTTTCAGTTAATTTAAAGTTGTCTGAGAGATGTTGAACTTTAAATCTGCAAATTCATTCTGGGTATAGACTACCAGTGCCCATAATTCCCATTAATTTCCAAGGGAAGGATAATTAAACACATGCTTCTCTGTCTCATTAAAATTAATGGAATTTAATGGCTAAATTTGGCTGAAGTGTGACCTCCATCTAAGCCAATTTAGACAGACAGAGCAGATGCAGGCATATTTATGTCTTTTGCACAAGACGGTGATTTAATAAAACATGGACTGAATCGCATTATTCTGGATTTCCAATGGCAGAAAAGTAAAGCCGTATCGATTTGTTCTCAGATGCTGGTCTCATTCACCAATATGTGACAATGCACTGAAGTCTCTTTAAAAGTTTGCTTTCTTCCTGATACTGCTGACAATTATAGGCTCAAGTTAGACATTTGTTTTGTGAATTTGCATGGATCATACAAATCAGTTACAGGTACTTATCTCTAAATTACGTACCCATGACTATGACAGTGAACTCCAGATGTTTGGATCTATGCTAATACTGCACTCCTATATTTGTTTGCTCAGAAGTAAGCCCCAGTAAGTTCGATGAGGCTTACTTTCAGGTAAATAGATACACAACTTCAGCCTAGGTACATCTACACTGTTAACAGTTAATTCAGTTTGACACCACTTTAATTGCCATGGCTCAATACTTTGGAATTACGGGAGCTGTAGTTTTACAAGGTCCTGAGCCTTCTTTGCCAAAGAGTGCTGGTGCCTCACCAAACTCCCAGGATTCCATTGCATAGTACCATGGCAGTCAAAATGGTGTCAAACTACATTAATTCATCAGGTGTAGATCAGGCATGGGCAAATGCCCCCCCCCCCAGGTGTTTTGGACTATAACGATTCCTAACGGACGAAGTTTGCCCATGCCTGGTGTAGATGCACCTCTAGGTTCACTTGGCTCATAAGATTAAATTCAAATACCATATTTTACCAAATCTAAGCCACACTCAAATATAAGTTACATCCTATTTTTGAAGCTTCAATTTTGGGGGAAAAACCCCAAAGCTATAATATTTTTAGAGTTTCCTCTGCATACACAGTACCTTGTTTTGTTTCAAATCAGTTTTGTGGTGCAGTCCTTCCTGTGGAGTGAGGAGGGAGTGTAAAGAGGTCCTCATGTCTGCATGAGTCTATTTTATTAAGTCTACAGGCCCTTTGGGAAGGCAGAGAAAGCAAGGAGTGACACTTAACTCAGCCAGACGTAAACAGCTAATGACAAAATGGTAGAGCCATTTGTGGCTGGAGCCCTTGCTCCTCCTCTCTCAGAAACAAGACAAATCAGCAAATCTGAGGTGCACCCTGTTTTTGAAGCACCTCAAATGGGTAGAAGTGCATCTTAGATTCAATAAAATACATTAATTATTATGCTTTCTATCTACTCTAAACACATAGAGTAGATATGATTCACAGTAGAACATGAGCCAAGCCACAGAGTTGGAAAGTAGTGTTGCTGAAGGAACATATACTGGAGATGGGATTTCTAGATGTATGAGAGCAAGAATAAATGCCATGCAACTACTAAATGCACGGACAAGTTACTTGATTTAGGAGAGGGGGGTTGAGAGTTGCAATCCAAAAAGCAAGTTTCCAAATTCTGGGAGGGTAAGGGTTCTTTTTAAAGCAGTGGTTCTCAACCTTTTTTTGACCAGGGACCACTTGAACAGGGACGACTTTGACCAGGGACCACTCTCCAACATTAGTGCCAAAAGGGTTACGAATCAGTTTTTGATCAACTTTAGATTCAGTTTGGTTATTTGGGGTTATTTAGGGTGCTGATTCAGAAAACTGCATTGGATAGACCACATCACCTCTACTTTCTGATACAGAACATATGCCATCTAGTAATCGCCATCTGCTTGCCCACAGAAAACCATATTTAATAATCTAGAGCTGATGTAGTAGTAATCTTTCATGGGTAGTCAGCCTCTCCCCTTCTGACATCCCTGTTGCCTCGGCATTAAATTGAGTTTTGCGAGATCAGCTGCTCTCGTTGTCACATGGTTTTGAGGCAACGGTGTAGTAACGGTGAGGCTATGGACCATATTTTCATTCTTGTGGACCACTGGTGGTCCATGGACAACAGGTTGGGAACCACGGTTTTAAAGGTACAAAGCTTACATCTAACAAGCCTTCTTCTGGAGGAATTATATGTGTATAGAGCCTGCCAACAAATGCCTGAAAAAGTCAATACTTTTCCAAGGTATAAATATTACAATGAATTTAAAATAACCATACACATAGGAAGTGGCATTTTTTTCCAGATATTTCCTCCTTTGTTTGTGGGGCTATTGCTATTGACTTATTCTCCCCATGAAGCCATATTGCCAATTTTGCTTAAACACAAAATACCTATTTTTAATCATTCAAAATATCTATACCTAATACAAAATCAAGATCATGTAATATTACTAGTTCCACTGAATGGCCCTTAGAAAGAGGCTTTTATAATCACAAAACCTAAAAATACAAAAGAAAGAGGTTTATATAGGACATAAAATTTTATTCTGAAATGATCTCTGGCCACAACAATAAATGTAACAAATATTCACTAAAATTGTCTTAACTCCTGCCATCAGCTATACAATACGTTTAGTATCATAAAACTGGCCACAAGGATTAAAACCCCCTACAATATATTTAATGTGAAGTGGGGCTGTGACAACAGCAGCGTTTCACATAAAATTTTACATACATATATACACAATCCACATTCAATCTTTTTTTCACATGTTTTTCAGTACACACAGTTGCAGCATATTACAGTCACGTGTCTAAGTTGTTGCTCGGTTTTATTATTATTTTAAAAAAAAGAAAGAAAGAAAAGAAAACCCAATATACACCTTAGACATAATTGTAGCAGTTGAGCGGAGCCAAGTAAATACAATGACTTCCTTTAATATTACTTTGTGTTTTTCAGAAGAGATGTACACGCTCCTAGAAACAACATAATCCACAAATGATTTTTTAAAATTTCAATATTACCACTATTTCAAATGGGCAGTACTAAAATCTTTACTGACACAGAAACCTTTTCTTTTACATTTTGAGAAATGAATTTAGAATATTCACCATCTACTTTTGATTAGGAGGGGATGTTTCGGATGGAAAATAGACAGAATCAAAAAACTCCGACGCGTGTCTAAAGAGTCCAATACAGCCCATTGCTACACAGTTCCTGAAGCTCTGTTGTGATTCCGTTCACTTCAACGGCAACTGCACAAGGTTTTGCACAAGCCCCATTCTAATCAACGGAGGCTGCCTTGCAGAAGCCATGAACTACTATTTTAAAAACAAGAAAGAAAATAAAGACACTTTGGGGGTCTTTCATGACCCCCAAACCACCCACTAAGGTAACAGCAGCATTAAATGCCTTGCACCCAAGTGTGTAAAAATCCCTGGTCACATGTTATTGGAGCCGGACACGTAGAAAAAGGAATGCACTTTGGTTCATACCAAATGCCCTGGGATGAAATCTTATTATAAAATAATGAGTCTGAGGTAATTTTACTTCCTTTTTAAACAAATGCCATTGATTCTGTTGAGTGCTGTTGTAACAAAAAGAAAAGTAGTTCCTAAAAAACCTGTCGGATATTAAGGTTACAGCTAACTAATTACTACAAAGTGCCAACTTTAACCTTTAAAGCCGCACAAAAAGTCCTACCACAAGAGTATTTTGTCTCTGCTAAGTAGTACAATTGCCTTATGATCTATATTAAGGCCTTGGAAATGCAGGGCAAAATCAACCAGAAACATCCCCTGCTGCTGCCCAAATGAAACAAATGAGAGTCAGCCAAGAACGCAAGTCAAAGAGTCTTGCAGAGCTATCATTAATTTCACCACAGGAAAAACAAGGAGAGTCTCTAGGTGTCTTATGCACAAGACAATATATTAAGGACGAATCGAGTATTTCTATAAAAACTAGTTCTAATCTGACTACATAGCACAGCATTCAAAAGGTTAAAGAGACAATGTTGCATGCTCCACGACGTGGTGTTGTTTGTAACAGAAGGCACATTGTTAACATCAAGGGCACAATTGTATTCTCCACAGTTCTTCCATGCGTCTTGCACGCTGTTGTCCCCTAGCTGTACCACTATACCGACGCAGCAAATCATCCAACACTCCAGTGGGTGCAAAAGTGGGCAAAAATGAGACTGCAACCAAAAGCAAGATAATACTGTGCTGTTACTACTCCTGCAAAGAAGCTCAGATGTCCCCTGATAACGGTAACATGTGAGACTAAGCAAAGTTTCCAAGCCAACATCAATTAGCCTGACTAATTAGATCCCTTAGAAACAAAATCATGTCAAAGCAAGATCCTTTAGAAAGTTTCTTTTTCCTTTCCTACTTTCTCCTTCCTTTCCCCAATCTATAAAGATACGACAATAAACAACCAAGGGACTGAACACTCCTAGGTGGCAGTCTCTTTTCACGTGAAAGCATACAGGTTTCATTATTCGGGAAGTTAAAGAAAATAGTTCACACTGAATTTTGGCCTAAAAGTTTCCGGTAGCATTATGAATATGATCATAAATGCACGACTGGCATTTAAAACCTGGTTGTCTGAAGAGGATTTTAGTTCATGCAAGATACATGATTGTTGTGAATTATCCGTGTGGATGTATGTTAACATCTTTGAACTTGTATTGAACAATAAAATGGACACATTTATTCATTTAAATACAATTAATGGGCTTTCTTGGGGGGCTGAAAAGAAAATCATGGAGCCAACCAGGACACCCATAGATACAGGTGCATTTCTGTGTATATCTGATTTTCACAAATGTGAAGATTTCCTAATTGATTTCAACACAGGTTGTAGTTCTCTATACAGAACCTTAGAGGACTGCCTTGCCATTTGAAGCAATATGGAAGGTTACACATAAGAGTACATGAACTCCATGTGAGTACTGGGACCAGAGCCAAAGTAAACAACGAATCATCCTGATAAGCTATGGATCCTTAGATCCCAAAGCCACTATTACTAATACACATACATATTGCATAGCCACACACTACAGAATGGTGTACATTTAATATAAATAATTCAGCATTGTTTGGAGACAAAGAGTTACATATGCAAAAAAGGGACACGGTAAAGTTATGCATCTCCATAAATTATTTGTCAAGAAGGGACTCTTCAGCTTTTTTGTTTTGTTTTGTTTTGCTGGTTTTTGTTTTTGGCAAGTAGTGTTTCCTGAGAATTCCTCATTTGTTATTTATGCCCATTTCCAACACTGAACGGTAACAAAAACATGTAAATTTCATTAAAAAGAGATTGACCGGAAACTTTATTGGCCTTTCTGGGGACTATGCTTTAAGTAGTAAAAAGACAATTCTTATAATTTGATTTGTGCATATCAACGGCTATGAACATGGCTCCTGAAACTTTCTGCTACCAAACCAAATTGCTCCTTGTTCTAGCATCCACAAACCCTTCCATTAATGCCACAGTCTCCTTAAAAATGATAGCCATAATCAATATATATATATGACATTGATTTTAACATTGGTTTGCTTTGGAAAGCAATGCTGCAGAACTGAATTAACTTGCTACTCTTTAAAATGTTTTGACTATTCTTTTCCATGTAAAGACAGTAGCAAGTGTATCAGACTAAACTACATTTGGGTTGCTGTGAGTTTTCCAGGCTGTATGGCCATGTTCCAGAAGCATTCTCTCCGTATATTTCACCCACATCTATGGCAGGCATCCTCACAATCTCTGAGGATGCCTGCCATAGATGTGGGTGAAACATCAGGAGAAAATGCTTCTGGAACATGGCCATACAGCCTGGAAAACTCATAGCAACCCAGTGATTCTGGCCATGAAAGCCTTTGACAACACATTAAACTGCCTTTATCTGCCAGTGCTATCTACTGAATCAAGACTTTCTCGTTCTAGTACAAAAGAAATAAGTGAACTGATCAAGGGATCCTATCTAAAAAAAAAAAACAGTCTGTTTTCCAGTCAGGAAAAGAGAGTGTCTGTTTCAATGATCAGAATGTAAACACAATAATGTAAACACAATAAACTGCAGAAATGTCTGCTCTCTCCTATAATTTCAAATAACCATCAGGGTACAGAATTAACAAGATACTGCGATTTTCATTCAATTTTCTGCATATAAAAGCTTCTCAAGAATACTAGAACTGTGAAGGATATCCTACAATGAGTACCAGTCGACATTTGGACAAAGTCTTCAATCTGGCATATTCCTCATAAAGAAGGACATAGATGAATAGATGTAGCTCTGCTGATTACTAGCACTTGCACTGGCAATAAATACACAAAATGTTGAAGCAATGTGAACACTTATTTAAACACTCCATCCTGGTTTGTGAAACCCAACTTGGCCCAGGCTTTCCAGTTATTTTTACAGGGGTGCTTAAACATGTACCCTGCAACAATGGTCAATGGAGAAGAACTGCTCTTTTATTTAGTGTATTGCTTTCTAATGATTTTCCCCCTTTAAAAACCCAGCTAGTTGACAGAAAGAGCTACACAATATTCATCTCAAAAGGTTGAAAATACAGTATGTTGATGAAGCTATGACACATCAGCTAGGTCAAATTCAACAGCATGATTATCCTTTGAGATGAATGAAGATAATGATGCTCTTGGGTAAGTTGGACTCGATTTAGAAGCTGTACCCAGCAAAAATATATGTAGAAGTCTGGATGATCCAGGTTCAGATCAGACAAATCTCCTGAACAGACAATGTAAAGATCTCTCTTTCATGTAGACACAGGATGCAAAAGAAAATAAAAAGACCCAAAATGCATTTCATAAGTTTGCAATGTATGATCCAGGCATTAAATATTTTGCTTCAAACAAATTTGACACTGGGTTGCTGTGAGTTTTCTGGGCTGTTTGGCCATGTTCCTGAAGTGTTCTCTTCTGACGTTTCGCTCACATCTATGGCAAGCATCCTCAGAGGTTGTGAGGAATGTTCCTGGAACATGGCCATACAGCCTGGAAAACTCACAGCAACCAGTGATTCCGGCCATGAAAGCCACAATTTTGCAACACAATTTTGACTTTAGCAATCACCATTTTAAAGAATCATTCGTCCACCTCACTTTCATTCATCTTTCCACTTTAAAAAAAATCACACACAATCTATTATCCAAGTAAAGATGCTAGATCATTTCTGAATAATATTTTGTTCATATTTAGCAATGTTTATAGCATTTTTCTTAAAGACCATTGTAGTATTTACTGAAATTATTTCTGCATATGTTTTGGAAAATTACTGAAAGGTTTACTGAATTTTGGAAATCTATGCACACACATAGAGAACACCATATTGGGCTACATCAGTCTTAATTCTGTGTCAAGATTTGGAATTCCAGTGTTGTGTGTTGACATCATAAAGTAAAACACTAAGCTTCAAGCCCAGTCTTGGCAAGTCCATGCAATTAAATGATTCAGGTGTCAGTTCTGGAGAGGAATCAACTCAGTTTGTGCATTGAGTTATATTAGATACTATGAATTTGCATCTAGATGTCAACGCAAGAGTTGACACCTAATAAGACTGAATGACTTATATGCAAACAGCTATTCACAGCCAATTTTTTAAAAAATAGTATGCATAAAATTGATACCTATATCTGATACCTAAAAAATTGTACCTATATATCAATGGACCTAAGTGGCGGTGGATAAAGAATCAGGAGTAGTGGTTAAACCTGTAAGAGATCACAAACTGACTCTTTAGCAGCCAGGTACTTAAGACTGATGGACCGCCATTATCACTACACAGCATAGAAAGCTGATAGTATAGTGGTAGCAAGTCTCTGCTTGGAGCCATAGAATCAAGGCCCATAGGAGGGAAAGCAGATGAAGTGGTTCCTCTTCCCCAAAATCTGAATTTTTGGGAACTGGGGTGGGGTGGAAGAATCTACTATATAATATGTTTTAGATCATGCAAACTACCTTTGAGAGGAAAGATTCACTCAAAACATGTAATGATTTTACTCACAGCACAGGTAACTCTGGAAGACTATGAGGCCACATTAGCCTTCCAAACCATCTTGGGAGGGCAGCATCCCTCAAGTGCCCCTGCCCCTCATCCCCTCTCAGACATATAAGGCTTTTGCTTTGTTTGTCTGGCCCATTGAGGCAATTTGGGATATTTTGAAGCAGAGAACATTTGTTCTGCAAAATTTTGTTTTGATTGGGAGGGGATGCTAAGGGAGACCCCAAACTTGGTGGAAATACCTTTCACTCAAGTATAATTTTTGGCCATTTCAGAGCATTTTTCAAAACAAGGTTCTTTTTGTTGGGAGGTTACAGGCCACCCATTTTGCCCATCTTTTACCTAAAGCAATAGAAAGCATTTGCGATGGGCAACATGTGCCCTTCAGATGATGCTGGATTAAAATGCCCAAGCACAGAAAATAGCGAGGGAATGTGGGAGTTGTAGTCCAACAGCACCAAGGGGGGGCACAAATTGCTCTACTTTACCTTACAGAATGTTACTTCCCATGTTTAATGCACAGTTATGTGCCACACTCATATTTTTAATAGGGCAAAGATGTTAGCCATAAGAAAAAAACCAAAATCTGTAGGAGTAGAATACTTTTATTAGGCCAAACAAAAAGTACACACACATGTGTGCAAGTTTCCGTGAACCCAAACCAGGCAAACTGTTACAAAAAGAAAGTGGGTGAGGGGGGAAAAGCTTCTCTGATCGCTGCAATGTCAAGTCAGCCTTCCCCACAACCTTCTTCACTGTACCACCTACTTCTTGTAACATTTTGCTCATGGAACGCATTTGGACACATGAAAAGTGTCAACACATTTTAAAAATTCCAATCTAGGATGATTTACTGTACTTAGAGCAGGAACAGTCAACCTGGGAAGTCTCCAGATGCCTTGGAATACATATCTCATAATTCCTGACCTTGGGTCCATGGTTAGGAATTATGTGATACGAAGTTCAAGGCATCTTGAGACATCCTAGTTTGTGAGTGAGAATGTAGTACAAAAAATCAAAAAGCCATTGAGTCATTTATCTGACCAAGAGGGTGTTGCCATTTTTGCCAGAAAACCACAAAAGGCATTCCTTGTTTGTTAATTACTGCTTGACTTCTATCCTTTTTGACTTTTGGAATTCATAGTACACAACTATAGAGCTATATTCCACTTTGACCGCCAAGGCTGCATCCTTTAGAGTCCTAGGGACTTCAGGCTGGTGAAGCACTAGAGCTCTCTGGTTCAGAATTCATAATACCCCTCCTTAAAAATGCAAACCCGAGGATTCCATAGGAAGATGGCATAAGTGGAATACATTGCTATAATTATGTATTATGAAAAGACCCTTGAATTCCATGTAGTCCTTTTCACTAATCCTATGCACAGAGTGTGAAACGGCCATCTTATCACAAAATGAACAGCACAACAGATCTACTGTTGTTTGTTACAGTCAACTTCAATGGAACTTAGTCCCAGTATGAGGAGTAAATAGCCCTGGAACCTAAGGCATTTATACTTTTCAGGTTGCAATTCCATATGCATGTGAGTCATTATTTATGCATAAACATGCACATGATCGCTCTGTCCGGTTAACAGATGTGCTAAATAGCATAGTGTTAAATGTCAAGTCACAAATTAAATCTCCTTAAGTTTAAATTTTGTAAGTAAGCATTGCATATATTTCAGTTTTTCTCAACATTTCCACTCCATCCTCTGGACACATTATATGGAAGAGCTGAGTGAAATGAGGGGTAAATGCAAGGACAGAGTTTTGGGCTACAGCTCCTAAAATCCCCTTTGTCATCTGAGGGATTCTGGAAGTTAAGGTCCATAGGAACAACTTTTCCAAGCTCTGTATATTGACTAGCATGAGATGGAAGTGCTCTAGGGGGATGCAACTTTTATTGTTATATGATAAATATTTATAGACAGTATTATGCATAAATCCAGAAATTATCCATATTCTGTATGCAACATCTATAGTCATATGGAATCTCACTTGTACCCCTGAATGTTTTCGGTATCATCAAAAGCAAAAAAATTAAAAATAAAATTAAAATGCAGGGAAATGTTTGTAGGACTGGGTTCTAGTGCCAGAACAAAAACAAACAGAAATAACTAGGAAAGTGTTACAAAGCCACTCCAAAGAAAAGCCAATATGAACTATGGGGTGGGTAGGGACTCGGGCGTCTTCCCCATCAAGCTATTAGATACGATGGTTCGGTCATCACCAGTGGCCTGCCACTGACACTATTATTATTGTGCCACACTAATCCCATAGTAAGGCTGACTATTATTTATAAGAAAAAACAATTCCTTTAAAAAAAGTGTAAAAACTTAAAGCATTGTCCCCATGTTATTTTTTATAAAACCAAACCCAACTTTTCTTACACATTTAAAGTGAGTACTGAAAAAATACAAATGTTTAAAGTTACCAAGCAAATAAAAATAGAAATCTGAGCTGCTTTTCCATACGAATAAGGCTCAGTGATGTAGTATCTCTTGTATGTTTATTTATCAGCATTGGATTATTCAAACTCAGCTAACCAGTTTTGGCAACACTGTCCTCTGCTGAATATTCCCATTGGCATCTGTCATCTGTGCCAGATTAGTCCTCAGTTTGGAAGCTGAGTTTGAGGTTGGAGGTAACTTGGAAATTGACGTGATAGCACCAGTGCTTTCTGTTATTCTTTTTGCTGATGTCTTCTCCCCAACTGGAGGCTTTGGCAAGCGCCTCCTTAGCCAGGGGTGCCGTAAAGCCTGACCCGGTGTCATGCGCAATGCAGGATCCCACTCTAAACACTGTTTCAAGAAGTCAAGGAAGTGAGGATCATCACATCCTTTGAGTGCACTCCCCCACTCCCGACTCTCTGGTGGGCCACGCAGTTTGCCCCGCCGGGAACGACCACCATTGAGCACTACAGATCCATCGGACAAGGTAGTAACGGTACAGTATCGGGGATAACCTTTTGAGCTCACAAAATTTTTTGCTCTTTTGGATGAATCTAATAGTTTCTGGGAAGGCATGCCCAACAGTTCTATCATACAAGCTAGCTGATCTCCCTCATCTTCTCCCGGGAGGAGAGGATAACCTGTCAAGAGCTCAGCTAGAATGCAACCAAGGCTCCACATATCTATGGGCATCCCATAACGAGCACCGAGGATGACTTCTGGAGCACGGTAAAAACGTGACTGAATGTAAGTGTAGACCCGCTGATGCTCGTAACAACTAGAGCCAAAATCAATTACCTTTATCCCACTCCTACCCTGTTGCTTCAACAGAATGTTCTCTGGCTTAAGGTCACAGTGAATGATTCTGTTTTTGTGCAACGCATCCAAGCACTGCAAAATGGAGTGGGCGAACTTGCGAACCAGCAGCAGGCTAAAGCCCTGAAATTTGTTTTTCTTTATAAGCTCATAAAGGTTCATGCTCAACAACTCAAAGGTCATACAGATATGGTTGCGGAATGTGAAATTTTCCAGCATATGTATCACGTTCATGTTGTTATCCTTATCCTGCTTTTTTAGGTGCTCCAGGATCCTGATTTCTTCGGCAGCCTGGCGGTGAAAACGCTTCTCATTTCTTACCATTTTTAGGGCTACGTGTTGATGCATCTTGTGGTCGTAGGCCTTCACCACTTGCCCAAAGCTCCCTTTTCCTATCACCTTCAAGACTTCATATCTGTATGATATATGATCATGGGGTACTTGTATATAAGAGCCCTGGTCATCATCATATCCATTATTGTTTGGACCACCAATTACACCTTGTCTCTTCTTTGCATTTGGACCCAAAAAGTATATTTCAGGGTAACTGAAGATCTCATGATGCTCAAAGGCAGTTAGTTTTTGCATGTATTGCTTCATGGCTTGCTCAGGTGTCATCAGAGAGGCTTTCAGCTTCCCGGGCCCATCAGTCGACTTTAAAGAGCTGGCACTCGCCTGCCGCCTTGCAACAAAGTCGAATAGTCTGTCTTGCCCAATTGGCAATCCTGATTTTGCTACTGTTGTAAGCCCATTTGGTTGTGTTGTCAGGACCGTCCTTTTGTTGCTGTTTTCTTCAAACAGCTGCTGGACCTGGATTTGCCCATGGCTTGTGACGTGGAGGTGCTCATTCATTGTGTGCTTATTTCCTCCAACCTAAAATAAAAACACACAATTTTCCCATTAGAGAGGAACAGGCTGTAAGCACAGAAACAGAATTCATCTTTCCCACACCCCAATTCACTTGTCCATCCCAATAATAAACTCAATTGGGTTGAATCGAGACCACCAATGGATACAAGTTCAGCATGCGACTCTTCTGCTGGAAAAAGCAAGGAAATGTCTTTGCTGTTTTCCCATTCCTTTCTGCAGCTTGCTGATTTCCAAAATCGACTCCCAAATTTTTTGTACCTACTGGAGCAGCATGGAAGGTGCTGCTCATACACATAGACTGAACATATGCTAGTCCAGACTTTGAAGATAGTAAGTTCCATCACACTTAGACAGTACAGACAATGGCTAGGACTGATGGGATTTATAGTACACCATCACCCATAGGGCTACACATTCTCCATCCTATGTTAGGACTTGCACAGAGAAGTGGCAAAATTGCATTCCCCTCTTCTTCTGGTGCAAACCTTTCCTGGCTCTCATTTGCTTTCATAGTGCATCCAACCCATAGTACCACAGGCCTACTGCCATTAGTCTGCTAATAGGCTTTTTATCCCAGAGATGGTCCTTCTGGAATATTTTCCTGGAGCCATTTGGTCTGATTATCCCATATCCAATTAGTTAAACTAAAATAAACTCATTGTATTGATGTTGATTCTGTCAACACATACGTACACATAATTGATTCAACAGTGTTAACTCTATCTGAGACTAGGTCACTGTATTTAAATGAATTTGGTAATTTGGTTTGACTGTTGGCTTACAGTTCTAGAGACTAGGGTTTGAATCTCTGCTGAGCCACAAAAACCTACTGGGTGACATTGGACAAGTCATACTCTCTGAGCCTCAGAGGAAGGCAAAGCCAAACCTCTTCTAAACAAATATTGCCAAGAAAATCCCATTGTAGGATTGCCTTAGGGTTCCCATAGGATAGAAATGATTTGAAGGTACATAACAACAAATTATTTTAAAATCACTTTTATCTTGAAATATGAATTTTAATGTATACTGATGGGTTTGAGCAATAAGTAGATATATTAGTCCAGGGGATTAAGTCAGTTTGCATCAGAATTTGCGAAGGCTGAATTCATAAAGTAGTCTCAGTTATAAGACCTTTTATTTCAAAGCCATATACATTTATTTTCTGGCAATTTAATCTGACTTTTCATTTGGGAATTCCTGATCTATGAAATGAATCAGTCTTGCTTCTAAAAGAAAACCCTGCCTTATAAAAATGTATCTCGCAAAGATGTTCATGGCAGATTAATATGGAGAGGTCCAACTTTAATTAGCCCAAAACTTGCCCTAAACTGGCATCTCCCATGTATCAGTTATAGTACATCTGGTACATATTTCCAAACCATGCAGATAAGCAGAACCACATCTCCTTGCATGGCAAGAATGGGAATGAACCATTGAGTTTCCATCACAGCAAATTCAAGTTTCTAAATGGCATCCTGTTTCTTTCAGTTGGTTTTCCAGAAGCAGAAAAATATTTAGTACCTTCGGAAATCCAAAGTAAACGTTTTATGACTTTGAAAGGCTTGTGTGAGAACACCCAAAAGGATTCCTGGGTGCTAGGAAAATTCTGCTGGCAACTGCTTAGGTTTTCGGATGTGCTCACATTGCTGTGGAAAGCACATCACAAAATATGATTGGATTCATGTTTCATTACAGAGGGAGGACAACATCCTTATCAGCTAAAGTCTGACAACTATAACTACTTAAGTAATTGCACACAAATCAGTTGTGGTTCTTGGACTCATCACATATTTTTCGGCTGTCTTCTTTCTGACACACATGTGAGACTGGTCTCTCAATGAAACCTTACTACAAATATTCATGTATAATTGACTTTATGTATAAGTTGATTACACTATGTAACACATTTTTGTTCCTGGGTTATAAATGTAATTTCCTAATTGGTTCTAAGATAAAAACACGGGGAAGGTTTATTAAAATTAAAAAACTTTGTTTTTGAGATCTGCACAATGGCATACTTTCATTAAGGACAATTACAAACTTTTGGATTTCAGGTAATAGAAGGATGAAAAACAAAAATGAAGTTTCTGGAGTATAACTACTTTCAAAGTAAGTAATGCACAATTAAACAGGAAATAACACTTTCAAATCAGGAACAGAAAAAAATTCAAATTTTGTTACAAACTGTTATGTATAAGACCTATCTCTTCCAGCATGCCTACCCTGTCAGCCCCCTGCGATGCAATGGATTAAACCCTTGTGCTGGCAGGACTGCTGACTGAAAGGTCAGCAGTTTGAATCTGGGTAGGGGGTGAGCTCCCTTCTGTCAGATCCAGCTTCTCATGTGGGGAAATGAGAGAAGCTTACCACAGGATGGTAAGATATCCAGGTGTCCCCTGAGCAATGTCCTTGCAGACGGCCAATTCTCTCACACCAGAAGCGACTTGTAGTTTCTCAAGTCACTCTTGACATGAAAAAAAAACCAGTCAGTTTTAACCACGAATTTTAAACTTATGTCGTGTGTTGTAATCTTTGTTCTGTATATTTTGATATGTAGTTTACAGAAATACATTTTAATTTATGTATTTTATAGAATGTTTACAATAATTAAATGTTTTTAACTATGTCATAACCTGTGTCAATTCACAAGAGAGGCGGGTAAGAAATAAAATTATTGGGTTGCTGTGAATAAAATTGTTGTTGTTGTTGTTGTTGTTATTACTATTATTATTATTATTATTATTAGTCAAGGAAGGTTCCAGGCCAAACCTGTGTATTTTTTGTATGACCTGTGAGTAAGTCAAGGTTCATTCCACACAGAAGTGAAAGTACCAATTCTACCTCAGAGTCCCGCTGTCCTGGCTGCTGCCCCCACCATTTCCCAACCCAGACATTCAAAAAGGCAGAAGGGGCACCATAGTGGAGGGAGAGTAGAGGGGCTTGGTCCTTCTTTTAGGTTGAACTTCATATTACACAGTTTTTTAGCCTGGAAGTCTACTGTTCTCACAAGATTTTAGCTGATGTAATGCATACTGATTTTCCAATTGCATGTAAAAACAGTACCTCCGCAACATATAAAATAGTAGTAAATAGAAAACACAATTAAAATCCTTTGTCCAATTATTCCTTTTCTGCTATGTTTTTTCAGATTGATTCCAACAGATTACCGCCTCCTCCTGAGAAAAATGAATAATATCACAAAGGACTACCACCTCACCCACCTCATAGGAAACCTGCTACAAAAGAGGAGCTTTTTTGTTGAGTTCCAGGGCCAGAGAAGCAGATGGCGGAAACAGAAGAAAGGCCTGCCTCAGGGGAGCGTGCTTGCTCCATCCATGTTCAACATCTACACAAATGACCAGCCACTGCCAGAAGGGACAGAGAGTTTCATCTATGCTGATGATCGTGCCATTACTGCTCACGCAGGGAGCTTTGAGATGGTTGAACAGAAGCTCTCCGAAGCTCTAGGTGCTCTTACTGCCTACTACAGGGAAAACCAGCTGATCCCTAACCCATCTAAAACACAGACATGTGCCTTTCATCTCAAGAACAGAGAAGCATCCCGAGCTCTGAAGATCACCTGGGAAGGAATCCCACTGGAGCATTGCAGCGCACCCAAATACCTGGGAGTCACTCTGGACCGTGCTCTTACCTACAAGAAGCACTGCCTGAACATCAAGCAAAAAGTGGGTGCTAGAAACAATATCATACGAAAGCTGACTGGCACAACCTGGGGATCACAACCAGATACAGTGAAGACATCTGCCCTTGCGCTGTGCTACTCTGCTGCTGAGTATGCATGCCCAGTGTGGAACACATCTCACCACACTAAAACAGTGGATTTGGCTCTGAATGAGACAAGGAGTGTCTGCGCCCCACACCACTGGAGAAATTACACTGCTTAGCCGGTATTGCACCACCTGACATCCGCCGGGAAGTAGCAGCCAATAGTGAAAGGACCAAGGCAGAGACATCTCCAGCTCATCCCCTGTTTGGGTATCAGCCAGCACGTCAATGACTTAAATCCAGACATAGTTTTCTAAGATCTACAGAGACACTCGCTGGAACACCTCAGCAAGCGAGAGTCCAAAAGTGGCAGGCTCAAACCCAGAACCTCAACCAATGGCTGATACCAAATGAGAGACTCCCTCCTGGGCACACAGAAGACTGGGCGACTTGGAAGGCACTGAACAGACTGCGCTCTGGCACCACGAGATGCAGAGCCAACCTTCAGAAATGGGGCTACAAAGTGGAATCCTTGACATGCGAGTATGGAGAAGAGCAAACCACTGACCACCTGCTGCAATGCAACCTGAGCCCTGCCACATGCACAATGGAGGACCTTCTTGCAGCAACACCGGAAGCACTCCAAGTGGCCAGATACTGGTCAAAGGACATTTAATCAACTACAAACTCACAAGTTTTGTATTTGTCTATTTGTTTGCTTTGTTCTGTTAGAAATGTAATATAATGGACTGGTTGCACGACAAAACAAACAAAACTGACGAAATAGGGCAAACCTCATGCCACTTGCAATGCTGGACTTTATGAGTATTGGAGTCTAATAGCACCTGGAGACTCACATGTTCTCCAGTTCTGATCTATCTAAAGTTTCAGCGTAAGAATTCATGCCATTACGATTAAGGTTGACTTGGCAAGCCTTGCTCTTATTTTTATCCAAAACCCACCATCTGGCAGTGTACATGAATAGAGGTAGTTAAAAATATACTTTCAGGGTGGGGGGAAACATGCATTAGTCTCACTGGCACACATTCAACAAGCCCAATTAATAAAACATTTTTATTAATTTAGAATAAAGGAAATAAAAATTTCAAAACATTAAGCTACCAAGATCTCTCTCACTCCAACCTTCATCAGCCTTTGTCACTGCAAGGAATGGGGTGGGATGTGTGAAAGGAAAGCCACTTGTTGTTTGTTTTACATCTGTTTCCTGGAAACTTGTTTTGACTACAAGAATAAAGATGGTGATGCCATCTCATTAA